AGTCCTCCTCCCCCCTCCCACATCCTTGGGCCTCTCAGGCTGTTGTTTATGAGACTCTGGGGGAGTCCACCCCAGCACCTGGGCAAGGCCTGTCCAGGCAGCTCACGGGACATTCTGCTCTGGGTGCATCCCCTCAGCCGCCCTCTCCCCCTGGCTGGGCTTCCGGACCTCAGGTAGCGCTCGAGCATCTTCTCCAGCCTCGGAGTTCAGGGGCCCGTGGGGTGGACAGCAGCAAGAGCCTGTGTTCCCAGGGGATGGGGGAGCTGTCACCATGGTTACCGCCTCCGTACACTGCCCAGCTGCCCTGGACCGCATCACCCCCCACCACGAAAGAGTACAGGCAGGCCTGGTCCTGTCCTCCACAGACCTCCCGCCGGGCCCGTCCTGCTCTGGGGGGCAGGGGCACCGGAGGGGACAGGGCAGCAAGCCACAGGACGTGTAACTAGCCCCAGCTGCTTTGGAATAAATCTGCTCAAGCTGGGCACTGGTCCCAGGGGACCTGCGGGAGCAGCGAGACTCAAATCCCTGGAAATTTCTGGCAAACTCCAAGACGAGAAGGGCAAATGTGGCACAACCATTTCCATCATAAACCACAAGCAGTTAGGACCAGGAGCACAGGGCAGGCTCGCTGAGAGGCATGGCAGATCCTCACGGTCTTGCACACACACACACATGTGCACACACACGTACATGCACACTCAGGAGGGTTTTATTGTTTGAGAGATAAATACACGGAAGTTGAAGAACCTTCACCCTCCGTTTAGCCAAGAATGGGATTAGAACTGGCCAACCCCATGGAAAGCTGAGCGAAGTCATGGAGTTCTTCACAGCAGTTGGCACAGCCGCCCAGCACCCACAACCACTGCCTGCTCCGTCTGGGCTCCTGCTGGCCCTCCCGGCCTCCCCGCCCGTGGCCAGCACCTGCCAGCACCCCAGGCCAGCGGTCCCTTCCAGAGTCCCCAGGGCTGAGCTGCGTCTCTGTTGCAGACGAGCACGGGGCGGGGCAGGCCTGGTGCCACACCGGCTCCCAGGAGCCCCCGGGAAGCAGTGCCACAGGCAGGCTCGGCGCCGGGACCTCACGGCCCCCTTCTCCTCCCCCTGGGCTCCTCGCGGCTGCCTGAACGTGGCCGTGGCAGGAGGCGGGGTGGGGAGACAGACGGGGGGGGGCTCGGGGTCTGGAAAGGTCACCGTGTCCAGCAGACCGGAGCTGTGGGAAGGGGACCCGGAGACCAGATTGGGTTCAGGAACCTCCGATGGTGTCAAAACACCTGCCCCTGAGTTGCTGGTGACCCTGCCAGAAGCGTGGTGAGGTCTTGAGGGCAAGCCCCTGAGGCAGCAGGATCCTGGCCCTGCTTGGCCCGTCACCCCCCACCCCTGCCTTCCGTGCTCCCGGGAGAAGATGATCCCTCCCCGGCCCCCAGGCTGCCCAAGCACTGGTCTTTGCAAAGTGCTCACCAGTCACTGGTGACGGAGAGCGGGGTACAGACCAGGGCCGGGCCTCCCTGCCCAGAAGGGTTGGTGGCCACAGCCGTGGAGCCCCAGATGGGTGGGGCCCTCCCGCACTGGGGGCCCCCACCCTGGACAAGGGTACAGACACAAGCCAGCCGGGAGCCCTGAGCGGGGCGCAGGCTCTACTGCGGGAAATGCCCCAGTGGAGCAGGTCCAAGGCCAGGCTGCAAGGAGGCCAGACCCCAGCTGGGGTCCAGCCCGGGGTCCGGACCCACCAGGCCCCGCTCCTGGCTCTGGCTGGCTGGGGCCACTCTCTGGGGGAGCCCAGGCCCAGCAGCACAGCACCCCCTGCCCCGCAGCCCACTTCCCACCACTTTCCCCACCGTGAGGGTCTGTGGCCGCACCAGGGGAGCAGAGGAGTCGGGACACGGGACAGGTGTGACGCAGGCTGCGGAAGCCAGCAGCCCCGCAGCCTGCTCTCTGCTCTCTGCCCCAGCAGCGCTGCTGGCTCTGGGTGCGGGCCGCGGGCTTGGGACGCATGCGGGGCTGTGCAGCTGCAGTTCCAGGGTGGGCTAGGGGCG